ACTCCACGAGGACGTCACGACCCCCAGATCGGAAGAGGCCGGCCACTAGAGCGGGGAGGACCTGGAGAACTGCCTTCCACTCGTAGTTGGGGGTGGGGTAACGGTTGGTGAAAAAGGTTGGAGAGGCAGGAAGACGTAAGTGTCCAGGCTTGTGGTGAGTGTAGATACGGTGGAGACGACAGTCCAGCGTCTCGAGGAGCTTGGTGGCTCCCATTGGCAGCAGCTTCCCAAGCGCTCTCATCATTTGGGGCAGGTGCGCGCCGAGCACGCCGCCGTACACGGAATGCAAGTCGTCGGGCGCCATCTTCAGGTACGGGGAATTCCAATCCTCGTTTCCGTACTTCCAGTCGAAGAACCATGGCTGCAAATGAACCAGAATAGTTGAGTTCAATGAATTGAGAATAATAATGGGTGAGCAATGAGCGTGGGGCACCGTAATAGCCGTTGAAGAAGGGGGCGCGCAAAATACGCTCTCGCCTCTTTCTAGTCGAAAAACGTAAAGTGTGCGCCGAGACGTTGGGCACCGTGACAGCCGTTGAGGAGGAGGGCGCGCAAAATACGCTATCTGGTCTTTCTAGTCGAAGAACGTAAAGTGTGCGCCGACTGTTGTAAGCATACTTTTTAGCGTTTCGCCGGTTACTTCAACGCTGTTGCACTTACCGTGATTGGATGAACCCCGTATTCTCGGCACTTCTCCGTGATTCGCACTTGCGGCGCGCCCGCGTCCTGGAGGTCCATGATCTCCATGATCTTAGGGCACATGTGTGCCTCTGTGCGAACCGTGTACTCTCCCGCAAGCGCCTCACGAACCTTGTTCAGCTCCTTCGGCCCCACTAGGCAGGAGTCGCAGCAGTTGGATCGCACGCCCGAGATGGAGGAGGCCTCGCCGAGGTCTTTGCTGATGGCGTACAGCAGAGGGACCCCCTTCCTCTTGTCGCCGAATGGGTCGACGAACTCGAAGCCGGTATAGGACGCCGCCCGCGCGCTTTCGAACACGATCCCCAGCGCCCCGTGCATGAAGAATCTCTTCGTGCCTCGAAAGCCCTCGCTGTCGGGCTTGTAGCCTGCGCCCGGCCAGTCGGGGTCTGCCTCGGGCTGTGGAAGCAATGCCACCAGCACCATTCCTCCTTGTTCGTTGTACGTCTTCCACGAGTAGTTGGCGATGGAGATGTACACGGGGAACGCAGAGTACTTGCGCAAGCCGTCGAGGGTGGTCTTGTCGATGTGCACGATGATGGGGATGATGATGTGTGCCCCTTCATAAGCTGGATCGGCGTCAATCTGTGATGAGAAGACGAATCTTGTTTTTGGTAGTATCCAACACTT